AGGGCATCCACAAGCACGCTGTTCAGATTTCCCAGATTCCGCGAAATCTGCGGGACAATGTCGACAGGGTTGAGCATGCGGAAGTTGTTCCACAGATCCAGAATGTCGTGAAAGTGTTTCCTTAACGCAAGCTTCATTTTGGTTGATGGGGGATGAATGGTGAGAATGTGTTCTCGGATGGGAAGCAGAACCCTGATGTGGTGGTTCTTGTCAAGAAATGCCAGAGCTGTGCGGAGCAGCGTGGTCTTGCATTCCAAGATGTTCGCAATGGGCAGATTGGCCTGCACCAAGTCACCATCTGAGAGTCCATTAGGGAGCATAGACAGAATGCTGAGGAGGTCCTGGGCTTCCGTCGTCATGCGCGAACCAGTGAATGATAATAGAATTGATATGTCGAGACTGGATCTCTTGTCATATCCATCCGAAAGCATCTGGGTGCTTTCGGACTGCCAGCGAGAGAGCGCTTGGCTGCATCCCTCATAGGCAGCCACGTTGGCGATAAGGCTGACTGCGAGAGGCAAATTCCCCGTGAGGTTGAGAAGTTGGTGCACAATTTGCTCTTCCTCGACAGTATCTGCGACATCGAGGAATGTTTGGAGCGCCGCCAAATCGGTCAGTGGTTCCAGTGGCGCAAGGAACGGTCGCGTCCATTTGACTTTGGCCGGCCGTTCCGCCCCTCTCATAGTAACCTAAGCCCACATTGAGCTCCAATTCGATTAGTGCATTTGGAGACTCACTATGAGGCCTAGGTGACCGATATCAGCCAGCAAAGACAAGAATTCCTCGACTTCTGGCCTTGAAATGCCGGCTTCCCATGGAGTTTCGAAGTTGTCCAACACCAGCAAGGAGGGCGGAGCTTGCGTGAGGTGTAGGACTACTTTCTTCAACAGGCCTGATCCCTTCGGCACGCCGACGTAATTCGCAATGGCTACCACTAGCTCCGCACATGTTGGGGCCGACTCACACGGCACGAAATATCTGGTTGGATATTTTGCGACCACGTCGGGGTGGTGGAGCGCTGCCGTAGCAAGACTGGTCTTCCCCATACCACCGGCACCTAGGATAGCAATTCGGGGAGACTCGTGAATCAAGATGTTCACCACCTTCTGAAGCTCGGAATCACGGCCATGGAAGATGTGGGGATGGGATGGTAGCATGGAGAAAGATCCGGAACTATAAACAACCATGAGCAACGAAGATATACACCAGTCGAACTTACCTGCTACCCAAGCTGGACAGTGTTCCCGTCACCTAAATACACGTCAGTGGAAGGACTCGGAAGCTTTTTATCACTGACAGATGAGCGTTCAGAATTGGTGAGATCCGGATGAGCAGCTAGAAGCGCCAGCAGTTCCTCGTGCTGTTGCTTTGCCTCCTTGCGCATTTGAACCATTTGAGACATTGTTGAACCACCGGATCGAACCTTCAGTAGTTTAATAATCGTACAGGCGAATGCAGACTGCATACCTTGAACATCTCCAACGTGTGATTGAGCTCCTGTTTACACATATCCAAACTTGCGCCATTATCGGAAGGCTTAAAGAATTGCTTGATTTTCCCCATTCCCTGCCGCGCTTTCAGAAATGTGTAAATCTTTTGAAGAGTTCTGATATCGTGTCACTTGGAAATCAGGTTGCGCGTCGAAAGTCATATCAAGACACTGTACGCACTCCGCGAATTTTGCGATATCGTACAACACTGCCGTCGGAAGTACTCCCTCAATTTCCGACGTGGCGTAGAGCCTCACAATGACACACAGAACCTCGTGAATTTGTTCAACCATTTGCGCACATTCCTCCTTATCTGATCGAACAGACTTCCCGGCCTAAATCAGTACACCCACCCAGAATACGGAATGCGCCTACCTGGACGGATTTCAGAATTGCCAGAGTCAAGGCACCGATAGACGCCAGGAACGGAGCTTCTGCCAAGTTCGCGATGTCCTTTGTGGCCGTGGCTGCAAGAGTTGTGTATTGAATCAGATTTTTGAAAGTGGCAGTGGGCATCTTTGAGAATACGTGGGTAAGTAGGACCCGTATTTATCCTCCGATGATAATCACCGTACGCGTCATCAGGAACCGACACCCGTTTGCACCCGGCGTTCAAAATTCGAACCGTGCACTGCTGCCTCCAAGTGCCTCCAACCATTTGGTTTTCAGATCCCCATTAAATAAACGAAAACGGTTTGTAAACAGGTTATAAATGACATTTTTTGAGTCATTCAGTGCCGTGTTTGTACTATAGTACTACCTTCTCATAAGCTCTTCACATTGATGCTTGTGACCGTCGGGCGTTGGGTGAGTACTAAGAGTGCGTATGAATGATCCATCTTCCTCTTTGAAATTTCCAGCCACATTCCAATCCAGTGTCTTCTCTTTTCTCAACCTTCACTCGGAAAGCCTAAAAGTCCGGCATCATCACTCACCGAACACCGAGTCCTCAACAGCGTGCCGCGGTTGAGATTCTCCCATTACACGCTGCCTACCCATTTGTATCTCTGCATTTATCGCGCATCCCCCCCCCCCCTATTAGAGAGCCAAAATCGTCTCTTCCTCCCTCGTTGTTGTTTTTCGTTTTCTTTTTGTCAATGTACCCGTAGTATATATTGCCAAATGCGCCTGCCTACTTACCGGACCTCTGGTGACGGATGCACGGCCGCACGGCCGCATGAGGGTGATCAAAGTGTATCCTGTGTGATGTGCTGCCCGTCACTGGTCTGCGTTCCGGGACCGATGGCGTCAGCCTCATCACATTTAGAACATCCTTGTGCACAAGGCGCAGTTGTGCTTTGAGTACCATCAAGGTCTGGGCTGTAAGTGGGCTCGACAAAGAGCAATCCCGAAAAGACTCGCTTCTCCCGACAACCGCAGATCACGGGCCGATACAGTGATGCCATCAATAGCCCAATGGAGACAACACGCGAAGATTAAAGTAATTTTATTGCACCCGCCCAAGCCCACCAAAACCAACCGTGTCTCAAGAAAAGATGTTTTGAAGAGGACCGGCGAGATGGCGCACGCACATCAATTTGATACGAGGCACATTCGCTTCAGAGGAGGCATATTGTCGACGTACAAGTCAGTCGATGTCTACGGTAAAAGTAAGTAAAGATAAGTAAGGAGTAAGGAATAGTAGACGTACCCTCAGTTGCACAATATAATGTAAGACTGAGGTACATCTAGGGGGAAATCAGCTACATGTACAATCAAATATGAAACAAATAAATAAAGGAAAAGAAACGACAAGCAAACAACCGCTGCACGCCATATAAGGAGATTCTCTCCTCAACACATATGATTAGTCTCTCCTAGACAGACTACAATAACTCGTACCTCGCTAGTTGTAGTCTGTTATTTACTTGGGTTTGATGTCCGTCGATCAAAGTTGTTATATAATCGTGGGAGTTTGAACCTTTCGCGATATTGCAGAGAGCCGTGGTTGGGCCAGTGTACGTGATTTTTTCTGATTTTCAGGCAAAAGTAACCAAGACAGACATTTTTATCTACCAAAGATTGCGTGGTATGCATGCGAAGATTTTGGGCCACATCCGCACGTGATGATTACGCTCAAGTATTTGCTGAGCGAAGGGCAAAGAAAAGAATAAGAGGATAGCTTGGGAGGAGTCTAAATGCTATTTACAATGTTTCTGCTTCCTAGGTTCTTCGCTCAGCCCATAGAACAACGCTTAGACACTTGGACCGATATTCAAACTCCGATGATTCTATAACAACTTTGATGGCCAATACACAGGGCACGGTAAACACAGGACTAGCATATGATGGCAAATCACACCAAGTGAGGCACATTCCCATGCATCCATTTCTCTGTATTAGCCTATAAATATCACTTTCGAGCAGTTAGGGAAAGCGCAGCGCACCCTAACTGCGGGTATAAACTTAGATTAGTGTTCGAGTTAGAGGTTAGGGGTTCGGGTTAGAGGCTTGGGTTAGGTGGTTTGGGTTAATGGACATAATTTAAGCGGAACGAGGCTTTAGTGTGCCAACCTGAGATGCCCCGGCTTGGGGGACCCCCCGAGCACAGCGAGGGAGGGGAGGGGCATTGAGTGGTTGGTCCCCTTCCGCAAATGAAGAAAAACTGATGTGAATTCTTCTGTTTTTAGTTGGTTTTAGTGAGTAAGTTGAGGCACATTGCCTAAAGGGGAATTAAACGTGCCTCGCATCAAATTGAGGTGTGTGCGCCATCTTGTATATCCTCAAATAAGGGTATAAAAGTTTTCTTTCGGCCAATCCTAGACCCCAAGATTATGAATCCAGCGCGAACTTTGAGGTATATCCAAATTTCGAACTCCGACACCCCCCGACGATGCCCATAATACAGAGAGGTGTCGAAGATGAAATAATAATCAGTCCGCTTCTTGGCATTCCCTCTTTGAGTTCAGGAGCAACATCTTCGGACAGAATGGGCGGGTAGCGGTGGTGGGAGGCACAATGATGGCGGTAGCCAGACGTTGGTAGCTCCGTAGGGATTGGTCCGGTTGAGTTTAAAGTGGAAGCTGGTACGGAAAGATACAGATCCACGCCGTATACGTACGGTGCAATTCCCTAGCGTTCCCATGATGTCAAGACTCATCGGTTTTTTTCTCTTTCCTCCTGCCTTTGGTCAGCGCGACCGATCAAGTACTCCTCTTGAATATTGATTGTCCTGATGGGCCAAACTATGCGTTCAACTGAATTCAGACCTGTTCAGTAACTTCTGTAACACTGTTTTGTAAGCCATTTGGCATTTGCGGTGCTGATTTGTCGCCACGGCTCGGCCAACACGCGCTTCGATTCGAGAGAAATGTTTTACCGTCCAACTCTTTTGACGGGCAAAGCCCCTTTATGGTATAACCCGCAAAATTCAACTTGGTCAGACCAAACACCTGCAAAGAAATCACTGCCACTGCCCCATTTAGGAAATGGAGGATGACTCGACCTGTGTTTTCTGACTCGCACGACGACGAAAACACCCGCCATGACGGAGAAGAAAAGCAAAAATACTAGCACCAGCTTGTTTCGATCAGGCGACCTTCGGATCTCTCCAATGGATGGAATGATATGAGACCGACGCGCTTCCAGCTGCGCTATGGTGCTCTGGTTTGCTCCGAGCTGTTTCAGAAATAGCTGATCCAGAAACACCTGATATTGGTGTATGTGTTTCTTGTTCGCGGAATAACCCACATAAAATCCTCGAATTGATTCCAACTTTTAAGTTGCAGACAGCTGCGAATAATCTCGTCTCGAAGTAAAAGCCGTCCCACCTAGACGTATGGACAGCTTCACCTTGGTTCATGCTGAATAGTCCACGTGAAAATATGAGCTAATGCAGAATAATACATTGCTAAATAAGAGCGAGACGTAACGTGTTCGCCCGGTCGTTATACAAATATTGGATATCAAGTAATGTCCAAGGCAGTCAGGAAAGTTGGAATCGTTCAGCACTTCCAGCTAGCCTGAAGCAGGGTTAGAAGATATCCGCCCGGATACTGACGACGTACACCTGGAGTTCCTGCGGTACCTACACGCTGGTACGGCGGCAGATTTAGGCAAGTGGCGAGGGTGACAAGCTTGTAGCCAGCGCCTTGCAACTTGGAAATCGCATAAGGAAGAACTTGATGCCTAAAGATCAAATGAGTAGGGAAGCCGGAATACATAAAAACACGAATGGCTCGAACGCGGTGGTTTCTGTGAACTTCGTGTCAGAAGTTTGACGAAAGTAATTCTTGATTTCGTACCCTGAGTCTCATGATTCAAAGCCAAAAGATTGCTAGGATGGGACGAAACAAAATCGTCGTAAAGAGACTCGCTCTCGTCGACTGAGGCGCCAGTTGAGTCACCAGAGCTGGTTTGGTCAAATAAATTTCCGCCCGCAATTGAAGGTTAGTTTCGCTTACTCAAAGTCCCATATCACCAGGCTTTGATTCCGTGTGAAGGATACCTGGCGCACGAGATTGTTGTAGTTTCCAAACGCTATCACCAGCATGAGTTTAGGCGACGCCAAACCGCGCGGGATCAGACCTACGAGGGCGCATAAATGCCGGTGTGACCCCAACTATCCGTTGCAATGCCTCTGAAGTGGATATTAGTAGTTCATTCGAGTTCCGGGGCAATTCTCACGTTCGACCCGCTGCATCTCATCGTTGACTATGTTCTGTCATTGAGACAAATTCAGGGAAGATAATGCCACAAACTTTTGTCCCGAGACAATGAGGTCAAATCTAAGTGCGCCCAAGTATGCGATGCAATCATATGCCCGTTGTCGTAGGCATACTTTACACGCTTCTGCGTATCCGCGTCGTAAATGCAATGATCTGCATGAACAATTAAAAACATTAATTAATCAGTCTGCTCCACCAAAATCGAACGACGCTTGCAATTGTTGCCGTCTGCCAATTTAGGCCAGGTGAACATCATCAAATAAATCCGAATTAGAATTTACTAAAGAAGAATGTCCCGAATGCCCCTGCCTCCTTAAGCGTGTTGCTGATGTCTTCGCTAAATAAAGTTAAGTCAGAACGGTTTTGGTGAAATAAAGGCGTAGCTTAAACTCACAGATATATATGTGGACCATCATCCTACAGTGCGATCGTTATTCAACAAGAAATGCGTGAAATGAGGACATACGAATGTCAGGGCAACATGATTCGGGTTGACGCATTTAGAGTATACCTTCGCTAACCCACCCTGGCGGCTCTCGAGTTCCGAGGTAGGATGGCAAGACGTAAGGGCAACAGTGGAGAGGGCGAAGATCAGGAGCGCTAACATGTTGAAGCAGATGTGAGGAAACGACGGGGTGACCACAGAAGATTGAAGGCACTGCATCCACCCTTATATACATGGTAGTCGCAATATAATCTGCCAAGGTCTCGAGATAAGCCGGGGGCGGTGCGAACGAGGCCAGTAGTTAAATCATCCAAAAGGAAAGAGTGCATACCATAAACGGTGATAGGCAGCGGATAAAGCCCAATTATGACTACAATGCCTGCATAAAGCCAACGTAGGAGATTTGCGGCGGGATTTGATCGGCCGTACATTTCCTCGAATCTTCTGCGGCGCAGCGGCCCTATTAGGACTGAATCAGAGGCATAGTAGGCTCGCCTTTTGTCAAAAGGACGTGTCTCGACACTCCGCCTCTAGCATAAATGTGCGTGTAGATCGATGGGGAGCTGTGCCATGCAAGAGCAATGACCACAGATGTCAGAGAATCAATGTTCAATGGGTACGGGCCGGAGAGAGGCTATTCTGCGAGGCCAAAGTGGAAGTTGGGTGTTGGTTGGGTGGCAATTGATAACATATCCTCCGCTAGGTTCCGGCCGGACGATTCCTTGATCTGACGCGCTCCTGAGTGTTGAGCAAACTTGAAACCTTGTGTGGTCCTGCGGCTTAACGCCAGTCAGCATTAAACATCCGTTCTAATAGCGGTCTCATCTAACATGACTCCTGAGCGATAATACCCGTCGCGCCTTCGGTCAACAAAACTAAGATTCCTGACGACTTGGCTATCGGCGTGGGCTTTAACTAGAATACCTCTTCGATGCAGCTCTTCCCCAGTGAGTGAAATTGCTCCAGCCAGTGGGAGTGACATCATGTGAACATGCGATTGGATAACAAAAGTGCTTCGGACGTGGTCGAAGTTACGCTAAAATGTGTTCCTAACATAATGTGGCCATGAACCTAAGAGACATGCCGCAACCGGATTAACTGTTTTTATGGGCTCTTTGCAGCACTGAACTGTCATGTTGGGATCACTCATGCATTGTGTAGGCAAAACACACACACACACGTTGATTCGTCGGTGAGTTCAAGTTGAGATATATTGTCGATAGTTACGCGGGCATTCATTCAGTCATATAATTGCCAAGGACTTGTGTCGTAAAAAATGCTGTTCCAGGTACATACACACTGTTACCTCGCATTCCTGAGCGGAATCATAAACAAACATCTATCCAATTGACGTTGGAAAGCCGCTCTTCTTCAGCTTCATCGTTTAAAATGACTCCAACTCCTTGTTTAATTCCGCCTCAAATCACAATCTAAATCAGGTATATTTTTCTCCTCTTTTTGCACCTGTTTCGCGGCACCTTTGGCCTCTTCCTTTTCCTTTAGCTGGGTCGAATTTGGCACGGTGGGATCTTTTCTTTCATTTTTCTTCATTTAATTTCACTGTTTACGCTCGCCCGCCAGTGTGCACTCTGGCCAGTCCTCAAGGGGGGGGCTCGGTTCAGCTAGTTGAGGCGGAGCTAGGGGTGCCCTCTTGTGCTGGTTTTGACGCAGCGCGCTACAGACCGCAGCTTGGCGCGCTCCGGGTTACTACCGCATGTTAGGTCTTGACGCGTGTCTCGATGTCGCTGTTTCTTTGGGGGTGGTTATTTTCTTCCGCTGGCCTTTCTGAATCTTCTCGTGGCAGTCGCGCTGTTGATCCTTCCTCCATAGGCGCAGAACACTACTCTCCTATACTATGTTATCCACCTGGCGGAGCGCTCATCTTCCTAACCTCTCCCACTTGATTTCCCCATTTTTTCTCGGTTTACTTGCTTTGCTTTTGGCTTACTGGGTTGTTCGTCGCTCAATCGTCGCTCACCTTGTACGGTGACTGGCTGCCTCGGATTCGTCCGATCTTGTGCCTTTCTCCTTGCCGCCCGTGTTGTGGTCCTCCTTCCCCGATATCCCACTCAAGCAGCTCACCCAGTTTCTATCGAGTCTCTAATTCAAGATGAAGGATTTATAATCGCACCGATATTTCTTCCGTTCCATCCTGGGACTGATTATTCTTATGTCTACTGGCACTAGCCCAGTGCTTAGCTCCATCCCCTTGGCTTCGAAAGTTCCAATTCTTCTGGCTGTGCATAATCTGTAAGTTTTGTTGAAACCACGGCGCCGTTCTGAATATTCTCGCGAAGACTCATGAGCGGTGGAACTTCTGCTAATATCGGCCAACTCTACCTTAGCTGCTCCTCCTCCGCTTCCCGTGCCGGCGGTTCATCTGGTAAGCTTTCGCTCATGTTTTTTACACAGAAAGGTATTGATACTGGCTTCATATCCTAGCGCCCGTAGCTCAGCATCTGGTTTCCGCCTCGAGGGTCAACAGCATTCGCCACCAGCAATCCTGCATCTTACCCACCTCTCTAAGTACCACCCACTTCATCTGCATCCTATGTTAACAGTATGTCTCGTACCGAAGTAATTCCTCATGTAATTCTTGAGAAAATAAGACACCTTGATGCGAAGATGCTAGCCTGATACCTATCCAATAATGTGGCGTGAAACTACCAGCTTGAGGTTGTGGCAGGTCACTGATCGTGTATCCACCGCCTACCGCTTAACGCCTACTACGCTAATAGGCGTCTCAATGCCCAATTAAGGTGTACTTTCCGGTCATGTCAGAGTTGATGAGGCAATAAGAACAAAAAGAGTTTGCACATGTTTTGCTGCTGAGACAGCCTCAGCCGAGGTCTTCAGCGTCGCCGCCAATCTCGCCCGGAACCCTGGCCAATTTGCCTTCAGGGACCGGCAGCCAAGACGTGTCATGTTGTAACTTGTAAATATCAATTTATTTTCTTATCGCGTATGAGTTTTTGCATGTTCCCGGTAAGCAACAGAATACCTACGGATGATCTGCGGATGATCTACTGCCCATCTGTAGAAGAATTTCAGGCATGCTGAGTTTTACAGTTTCAGGTGCAACTTCGGGATCGGCTGAAACTGTGCCCTAATCTTATGAGGAGTGCTGCAAGAACGAGTATTTGGAATATTTATGGGATCATTGAGAAGGAACAGACCGCGGAGGGCCGAAAGCGGATGGTGTAAATGAAAAAAAATCCATCTCGACGAGTTCGTCGCTGCTTGTGGATGTATCATATACTTAGCCCCTGCAATACCTACTCTAAATAGCAACAGCTCTCTGTCTCTTAGCTATCAGCAAGCTATCAGTCACCGGTAAGTCAGCTGTAATGTCTGGCTTGCATCGATATACGAAAAAAAAAAAAAACAGCTCTGAACAATTCCAAGCGAGCATACAAAATCGCGATGATGTCTAGATGTTCGGAACCAAGGCACGAATCGCCGATCGATCAAATCAATCTAGGGTTTAGGGA